GGAGCGCGGGTAGGCCCCGCGCTCCCCAGCGCTGTGTGTTCCCGTGCAGGTCTCGGTGCTGTACTTCGCCAAGAGCGCGGAGCTGGCAGGACTGCGCAGCGAGACCCTCTCGGTGCCACGGCAGATCACCTCGCTGCAGCTCTGGGAGGAGATCGTCAAGGTCCACCCCAGGTATCCGGCGGGTTGCTGCTGAGACGCACCAAGTTAAACCTAGTCGTTCCTCTCTTTTTTTTTTCCCTCCTAAATACAAATTGGACATTAGGTGATTTGGAACACGTAGCAGCACTTAAATAGCATAGAAACACTGGCGTTACCTTCTTCTGGTAACCTGCACCAAGTGTTTTGTGTTTTGCCCAGTTGGAAACACTGTAACTTTCTGAAAACGCAAGGGAAGTCTCAGTGCAGTAAGTGCACCCAACACTTGAGCCTGAGTGGCATGTGTGGCCCATTGTCCGGGAGGGATGTGGTGCAGTAACCTGAAAACCGAACTGTGTTATTAACCTGAGGTGTCTCAAGGAGGGATCAGGCACAGCCAGGGCAATATGGAAGAAATATGTAAGAAATAAACTATCATGTGTGGGTGTTTCCAATCACTTATCATAAAATCATAGAATTTTAGGAGTTGGAATGGGCCTTAAAGATCATCTAGTCCCAACTCCACCCCTGTCATGGGCAGAGACACCTCCCCACTAGACGAGGTTGGTCAAGGCTTTATCCAGCCTGGCTTTGAACACTGTCAGGGTTGGGGCTTCTACTAACGCTTATACTACCTGCCTGGACAGCCTGTTCCAGTGTTTCACCACCCTCACCCTTGTCTTTAACTGTACTGTTAGCCAATGATCTGAGCTTGCAGCACACTCTGAAAGGCGTGTCGGGAGGGGAACTGAAGGCCCCACAGGCTTCCAGCCTGACACAGAAAGTAGATTCAGCCACCTTAAACCTCCTCTGCTTTGAAAGAAAACCCCAAAGGACACCACTGTTGGTTGCATTTCATAGGCAGTCTGGCCCTGTGAGAGCACTGTGTGTGTGAAAGGGCCCCTGCAGCACTGGTGCTCTTTGGAGCTGTCAGGCAGAAATGTCTCCTCAGATTAAGGCTGAAGGAAGGTGCTCAGTTCTGCCAAAAATGCGTCTGATAGACACCATTTGGAAGGGGGTAAAAAAAAAAAAAAAGGCAACCAAGAAAACAGTGAGGCATAACAGAGTTTGAGGTCCTCAGGTTGTAGTGCTGAATGCTCTGGAATTTCCATAACTTTGGACTTAGGTGTCAAAGTCTTCCTTTAGGCACAACCCTTCAGTAGATTACTCTCAAAGGCTATGAAAAAAAATAACAATTGGTATCAGTTTCCAGGTGAGAAACTCAAACTAATTGCTAGACCAGGGACCTTTTCCTCACAGAGAATTGAGGGGAGGAGGCAGTAGGGAATGTGTGTATTTTACTTTGCAGCCTATTCTTCTGTGTCAGAAGCAGCAGCAGCACCGTTAGTCGGCTTGCCATGGTTTGTCAACTTTGTCCTTTTATGAATGATGACTTGGGGCAGTATATTTTACATGTGCAGTTACTTCACAGCGTCCTTCTTGGAAAATGCTTCTGTTCCTAGCTTCTCTGGAAAAACTCAATATAATTGTAGGGCATTGACCACAGACTTCTATTCACATTGCTAATGGATATTCAGACTGTAACTTGAGCGTACTTGACAGTTCTCTTCTGTTCCACCCATTTTCCCCAATGAATTAGCTTACAAGTGACATTAATTAGAGCCTGTTCTTCTAATGGGCACTAAAGTTTCATGGTTGTGCGCAGTTCTTCAGTGGTTTGCTTTACTTTCATACAGTCCCTCCCTTCAGTCTACTCTCTGAGTCAGTGCTACTGTGTTTTGCTCAGCCTGTGTCTTGCGTACTTCTGTCTATCTAGGTGGTAGGAAATAAGATGATTTTTACTTGTACTCTTTTGGCATGGTTCCTTGTTTCTAGGCAATATAGCTTTGTGCTGGTTGTGCCAGATTTTGTAGTCTCAAACAATAGCAGTTATCATTCCTGCACCTTCTTGAGTAAAATGTTGGCATTCTTTGCCTGGTGTCCTCCTGCCTTTGCCCTCACGCTTGTTGTGTAATTGCACTTAGTCATGAAAGTGACTCCCTACTTCATGATATCCAGAGCTGTGGACTCTCACAGCAGCATCTCACAGATGTGAAATAAAAAAATATACAGACGGTCTGCCAGAAGATGCATCACATCTGCCCTCTTAGTTCTCTGGCTGCTCTTTATCAATAGCAGATTTCAGACCTGTAAGTACAAAAGACCAAATAAACTCATAGACTCTGAGCACACACAACCAGAGCAACTGTTTGACCACTGAATCTTCACTGGATCTAATGAATAGCATTGCACAGTGCTTCTTGGTGTGTAAGAGAATTGCTCCAGTCCAGCCAGACTTCCAGGACAGTATCTCCTAATCACGGATTGTATGGTTGCTACCTCTTGAGTTACCTGCTTCTGTATTAGAAGATGCTGAAGTTTGTTCTGGTATAGGCCTATGACAAATCCAGTTCCTGATTGATGAAGATTGTACTGGGTTGGTTTCTCCTTAGCCACTGTGAGAAAGTCTGAGAGTAGGAGGTGGGTGTTGTCGTTTTGACAGTGTTTTGGAAGCAGAATTGCATAAGTGTCAGTGGTTTTGACCTCAGCTGCCCTAGACTGTGCACCAGTTTGTTGTTTAATGAAATCTCATGGTTAAAGGCAAACACTCTATTTTGAAACCTATTTGTGCTCCTGCCAATCCCCCTCAGGCTTGCTGTCATCCGGGATCAAGTGGTTTTTGCTGTTCGGCAGGAGTACGTGCTTCTCGGAGATCAGCTCTTGGTCCTGCAACCTGGAGACGAGGTTGCCATCATTCCACCAATCAGTGGAGGCTGAACCTGACCAGATTCTGTTAGGTAGGTATCACTTATTGCTTAGCTTCCCCTGGAGTGTAACCATGTGTGAAAATATCTCATGAATTCTGTATAATGTTCCAATAACCTCTTTCTTTCTTTTTTTTTTTTTTTTTTTTTTTTTTTTTTTGTTCCGGGAGTTTGTTTGCATTTTTGCAATTCTCTCCTTCCACCCCAGTACTCTTTTGAGAAAGCCTGACTTGTGTTTACATCTGGAGAATATAGCTGTGCTGACCAGAAACTATAAGCCAATGCACCAGTAAATGATTAACACGTATGCAGTAAATGGAAGACAATTGCCAGAGAGGTCAGGCATTGTTCTGAATTTGGGTTGTAGGTTTTGTTACTCTTCTGTGGTTGTTTCTCGCTATCCATAGATACTTGGCTTGCCTAAATAGTATAATAATGAAAAACCGCCTAGCACTTTTTGACAGAAAAGATAATACAGAAAAAATAATTGCTGCTTAAAACTATTTTGTTGGTGTTAAAAGAACAGGTGTCCTTAGAATAGCTTCATTTCTTCGTCTGCTTTCAAGTGCCAGTCCATGTAGTTACTGCAGCTTTTTTCACTGCTGCTGTGGAAAATACTTTTTTCTCCTCATTCTTAGGTGATATGATGGCTGGTAAAGTTAGTCTCCTGTGTGACCGAGACTGATAGCATGAGGTCCTGAGTGTCCTGGACAGCATATCCAGCTTTAGGATTAGAACTCTAATCCATGTTTATCAGAGATCTCTGTTTTAAATTGTTGTATTTCAGGATAAAATAAGCATGAGGGGCCGACAATCTCACCACAGATTCACTAGCGCTACACAGTGATCCATGCTGGTTGATTGTACTGTTAAACTAGGGCCTTAGGCTAGTTACAGTCTTGTCCTATTGTACCAGACTTTCCTATCAGAAAGGAACATGAATGCATTGAAAGACATGCTTGATATTTGCAGTTCATAATCTCAGACTGCTGAGAAGTAAATTTGAGATGGAGACTAGTCCCTTGGGGAAATAGATGGTGCATGTTTTCTGCATAAATTGGGGCATCAGCACTCGGTAAAAAGCAGTCAGCCCATGTTAGTATCTCCAGAAACAACAACAGAGTCTGTTTGGTTTCAACTTTTCTAGTGAAATATGGATGAAAATGAAGATGTGCCAAAAGATTTTATCAAGCTCAAGTCTGAAAAGCTGTCTGTAGATGAAGTGTCAGAGCTGGTTGTTTCACCATGCTGTGGGGCAGTGTCTCTCTTTATTGGTGAGTTTAATATTTATGAGCTGGATCTCTGGGTGTGTTAATAGTCTAATAAATGGAACCTAGCTTGTCCACATCCCAGACTTGTGCTTCTCAAATAAGTCAATTCCTGGTCTGAACCCAGGATGTTTAGGAAATGTATTCCGAATTATTACAGCAAGATTATGGCACCTCTTAAACAGCTGCACTGGGATAAAGTGGTGAGAAGCTTTCTTGCTGGTATGGCTATCATAGGACTGAATAGAACAGCAGCTCTGGAGTACAGAACTGCTTAGGGTGTGTTCTCATATCTCCTTGGACACAGCTTGTTCAAGGTGGGAAACAGGATGTTATGGCTATGCAAACCATATGTCCACACCTTTGTGAAAAGTCCTGCAACTCAGGTCTTGGTTGAAAGTGAAGTAGTGTTTTACCCTTGGGCTGATGAAGGTAAAGGCAATAGCTCTGTCCTGTGCTTAAAGGACGTGGTACACATCTGAAATACCTTTGTGCTTAAACCTTAGTGCTACTGGGCTCCTAAATACCGAGCATTTAAAAATTGCATAGGCAAGTGCAATAATAGCACCTTAGGAGTTACCACAGAAGATGTCCCAACCTTGGGGCATTACAAAATGCAGGCTTGTATAATGTGTGAACTAAATTCTTCCTTTCATATTAAAGATTAATCTTGTTCAAATAATCTCTTTATGCAGCTGTGATTAGGGGAAGCTGTTTACATCTGCACAGTGCTGACCTTGACCATAGCAAGAGATCCTAGGTTTTACTCAGTATATTATATGTTATTACATAATAAATATATATATTCTAAAGATACAATATATTTATTTGCTCATTGCTTTTGGTCATTACATAATTTTTTATTTAGGTACTACAAGAAATAATTTTGAAGGAAAAAAAGTGATTCACTTAGAATATGAAGCATATACTTCAATGGCAGAGACTGAAATAAAGAAAATCTGCACAGATGTCAGACAGAAATGGCCTTCAGTCAAACACATTGCAGTGCACCATAGACTTGGGTATGTATGTTCAGACACCATCTTTCTGCAAGTGCAGTCTTAATCCTTGTCTGGTGCATGACTGTGCTTACGTGGTTGCAGGACCTGCAGGAGCATTTAGAACCTGTAGTGCAGCAAAGCTGACTGCAGAATCAAGCTCCTGCTGTGGAGCCAAGTTTCAAAAACTGGTTATGCAAAAATGTGTGTATTGGTAGTGTTTGCTGGCATCCACATTTAGCCTTGCAGGATCCTTGATGCTACTGTGATGGTTTGAAAGTGGGAAGAAGGGATTGAGATTTCATTCCAGGGAAAGGGAGGCTGGTGGTTTGTTTAGTCTTTTTTTTTTTTTTTTAAGGATACGAAGTTGGCAGCACTTTCTTTTTTCTCTTCTATTGAGGTGCTGCAGAATGTCCTTATTGTCAGATTTAAGTCAATTTTTATGCCATAAAAAATCTGATAGCTTAGGCTATGGGGAGGTAAGATGCATAATAATTGCCAGCCATGTTTACGAGAGAACCTCCTTTTGTTCCTGGAGTTTTGGATAAGCACTTTCTGTTGGGTTCAAAGCATTGGGTACTAGTGTCTGACATACTCTTGAGTCTTCACTGTTCATCAGATTTCCACTGAAGCTAGCAAGATTTGCAGAGTCTGTTGTAAATGCTTGTTTCCTTTTCTCTCAGCAGAGGGAACTTAGGAGGTGAATGCAAAGGGCAATATGTTAGGTCTGAGGAGTAGTTTCCTTAGTTTTCCCCTGTAGTCAACAGAGAGAGTGGTATTCTTGAAGATAGCTCAAGCATTTAAGGTGTGAGATTTCTTCTTGTGAACTGTTTGCTGGAGGAGTCTTTAATGCAGAGGGAGGGTTGGGAATAGTACCATTGTGAGGAGCAAAATAAAACCTTGTGCTACTCCTGTTAAGTTTGGAAAACAACACACTGAGTAGGAAACTTCAGAATTTTAAATCAGAATTTATCAAAAATTAAGTTTCATTGCAGAATCTGCATGGTTTGAGGCACTTAATTTCTTCCTTCACAAATTCTTGTGCAACCTGAGATGATTTCTTTGGTTTTCAGATAAGAACTGGCTGTTCTAACTTGTTATTGTTCATTATTAAGCTAGTTTCCAGTGAGTTTCCTATGCATTGTTGCAAGCTAACAATTTCCCCCTCTTAATTCCATAGGCTTAATTTTTTAAAAAAAGAAAGAATGGAAGTAAAAAAGGCTGTGTCTGGTGGGTTTATTTATTCTAGTGTGGAATTCTAACATCTGGTACTGATTTTGGTTGTGGTTTTCTTTCTTTTAAAAAGTGTATAATCTTTTGGACATGGTTTGACACTTGCTCAGTATGAATGAGTCAGGAGAGCATGTGGCCAGAATACTGACGTGACATGGCCACAACTTTTGGGTGCTCTTGGTGTTAAGCCTTAGCTGAAGCTGCTGTTCCTCTTCTCTCCCTAGTGTGGTTCCAATAACTGAAGCAAGTGTAATTATTGCAGTCTCCTCTCCACACAGAGCAGAATCCCTTGAAGCTGTAATGTACTGCATCAATACCTTAAAAGCATCTGTTCCAATATGGAAAAAGGTATGTTTGGGGACAAAATTGAATTTAGGCTTATCCTAGTCTTAGACATCTGGGCTGTCTAAAAAGCATTACAGGCAGCAGTTGCTCTTGATGGGTTGTCAATGTCTAGCACCAGTGAATTTCCTCTAATGTAGCCAGGCCCATATCTCATAGGCAGAGCACCTGGAAGGCGCTTCTCGTCCTGTATCATCCAGCTCCTCTTCCTTTTGAAGCCATCCTGTGGTCTAAGTGAAAGAGCCCTGAGTCTCCTCTTTTGAGTAGCAAAACTGAGTTCTGCACAGGCTTGTGTAAGAACTTTGAGTCAGCTTTGCTTTGGACAGCACTGCAGTTGTAAAAGCAGCATGTCTTGCCTTTCTCTATCCTGTCATCCCTGTGGCCTTGAGAAAGCACAAAGCAGTAAACTACAGCACACAATGAAGGGATGAGCACAGATCCATAAGCTAGTATGGGCACACAACAGTGGGTTGAGAATCCAGCCCAGGTGTAGAAAGAGCCTCATTGTATATCCACAGTGTCGCATGCAAGTAATGATTGTTACCTCTGCCTCCTCTCCTAGGCAGCACTTGGCATGTGGTTAACAGTGATGTTCTCCACTCTACTCCATGTTTATGACACCTTTCTAGAGACTGGAGTTCTGTTGTCTCAGAACAAATAATTAGGGACTCAGAGCCCTGCTGAATTTGCTGCATAGAACTGGACTGCTGCTGGGCAGTATTTTGTGTATTGATGTCGTATTTATTTTTTAATAGTGACATTTTGTATACATTTAAATACTCTCCTAAAAAAAGGTGGTACAGTAGGTTTACATGGCAACATGAGTGCTCTTTATACCTTTTACATCATTTCTTCTAATCTCTTTGTTGAACTGGCTTAGTGTAGATGGGCTCTTTTAAATCTAATGCTGATCAGCCTGAAGTTCAGCAAAGTCAGTATGTTCTAAGGGTGCTGCCCTGTTTCCTGCTTGCTAACCAAGTTCTGTGTAGTCCTGTTGTGATCAGTAAATAATAGCAGGATGGCTGTTGAATTATGTGGCCTGGCTTGTGGCTGTATATATGGGAGTATATATATATATACTCCCATAATATTTCCTATTCTTTGTTTATATTTGCAGGAGATTTATGAGGATGAATATTCTTGGAAAGAAAACAAGGAATGCTTTTGGGCAAATTCAGAAAAGTAACTGTACTCTTTCAAAAATAAAGTCTTACTGTTCATAATGAGCATATTTACCTGTCATGTTTATACAGAGTATCTGTGTGTGTCAAAACAGTTGTAATAGACATCTCAATCTCATTTAATGTGGACTGAGTGAAATGAATGAGTATTAATTAGGGTTTTTAAGTGTTCTTGACTCTCCTTTGAAATCAGCTCTGTGTATTTCAACATGAAGTCAGTTTTTAAAACAGTCTTCCCTAAAATTCTTGGTTGCAAGGTGTTTAGACTACTCTCTGATATATACTGCTTTAATGCCTTTATATTGGCAGTCTGTATTCTCTGTCTGCATGAGAGGTCACCGCAGGACAATTGCATATTTTTTAATCTTAAAAAAAGTCTAGAGAGTTTTAATTTTATATGACTGTAGAATCAGTTTGCAAGCTTCATACTATCTTGACATTCTTGTAACATGAAAGCTACTTGAAGTAGATGAAGTATTTCAGTACAGACAGAGGAGAAAATATAAACTATACCCCAGAGTTATTAACTTTTTAGTAGTGGTTACATTCCAGTAGCTCTGTCTCACAGAAATATTTTTACTGTGCAGCTGATATTACAACTCCATTGCATTAAAAAAATATGGACAGACCTTGATTCAAAGTTAGATCTAATACTCTTACCAGCAACAAACTTGCATTAGCAGTAACATGCCAACCTGTAACTACTCAATGATGTCTAGACATGATTAATTTTTAAGGTGATTTCTTGGCTGTGTAGTTGTATGGTGCTGCAGGGAGAAAAAAAACAAACCAGCTATTATTACAAATAGAAACTATAGTGTAGTTAATTTTAGTAATTGGACTTTAAATGTGTTAGGATTAAAAGTCATCAAAATGGAGTACTTTTTCAAAGAAAAGAGAGTCTATTGAACTTTTTGCAGTTCATTTATGCATTTATATTCACACTTATGGTTTGATTTTTATACAGTTTTTCCCTTGTTGCTGTTTTGAACCCTAGTTAAACCAACTGACATAATATGCCTGTGCTTCCACTGGAAACAATGGGCTGCCTATCCAAGTAGGATAATTTTATTTATGTTAGTGTACTGTGCCATGATAGTATTTAGATGCTGGGAGTTCAAGATTCCATTGTGTATGACATTTTTACTAAAGCTGAGAGGCAATTTTATCTAGTCATCATGATCAATGTAGACAATATAGACAAAAAGGAAGGGAAACAAGGTAACATAAAATGATTTGCTCAAGTTGTAGATCGTACATAATATATAGTTATATATCACCCAGGTGCAAGGTCATGCTCCTGAGTTGGTGCAATCCCAAGCACAAGTACAGTGTGGGTGGAGAATGGATCAAGACTAGCCCTGGGGAGAAAGACTTTGTGGTGTTTGTGGACAAAAATCTCAATATGACCCAGCAATGCGTGCTCGCAACCCAGAAAGCCAACCACATCCTAGGCTGCATCAAAAGCAGTGTGGCCAGCAGGTCAAAGGAGGTGATTGTGTGACTCTGCTCTTGTGATACCCCATCTGGAGTGCTGCATCCAATTCTGGAGCACCCAACACAACAAAGACATTGACCTGTTGGAAGGAGTCCAGAGGAGGGCCACTAAATTGATCAAAGGACTGGCACTCCTCTGCTATGAAGACAATCTGAGAGCTGGGGTTGTTCAGCTTGGAGAAGGCTCCAGGGAGACATTACAGCACATTCCAGTACCTAAAGGGGGCTTACAAGAAGGTTGGACAAGGTCTTTTCACAAGGGCATGTGGGAATGGCTTTAAATTGAAGGGAGGGTAGGTTTAGATTAGGTAGGTATATGGAAGAAGTTCTGTAGTATGAGGGTAGTAGGGTACTGGAACTGGTTGCCCGGAGAAGTTGTGGCTGCCCAATCCCTGGCACTGTTCAAGGCTAGGTTGGATGGGGCTCTGAGTAACCTGGTCAAGTGGAAAGTGTCCCTGACCATTGCAGGAGGGTTGGAACTGGATGATCTATGAGGTCCCTTCCCACTCAAACTGTTCTATGATTTTATGATCGTTATATCACACACCAGTGAAGCCTCAGCTATCTCACCCATTTCATTGTGTCTGCAGTAAAAATCTACAAACAGCTGTTAGCTGCATAAAGTAAAACAAAAGTAGGTGATGATCTTTTTTCCCCCAGGGATTTCAATCAATTTTAATACTTAGTTATTGGATCTGAATTAAGTAAACAATAATGAAACATAAAACTTCAGGCAGAAACATAGTTAAACTCTGCTTATTAACTTACTGGTGCACTTTCCTTAGTGGAAGTGAGTCCTTCCATTGCAGGACAGCAGCTGCGCCTTGCGTGCTTACATATACACACCCTCCAAACCATGTGGGCCCTATTATCTAGGCAGAGCTGAGCAAGTTCAAGATTGTTTTGGAGGTTGGAGAGAAGCCCTCTGCTGTTCGAATATCACTTTTACCCTGAGTTGTACAGAATCCTCAGTACAGATCTCTTCGTCTGTCAAATAATTCTTTTTCTCTTTAGAAGAGAAAGGAATACATGAATTTCCCCATTTTTGGTGTTCATTTTTCCATGTTCATGTTTGCTGTTCCCATGCAACGGATTAATGTATTAATTTAACAAAAATAAATGTTTAGCTTGTCCTAGAGAGGATGGTTTATTAATGAAATAAAACTTATGCAATGTTTGCGTAACGGTGCTGTGCTCTGATACAGAAATACAGTAGTATTTAGAACAGTGAAGTTCTACTTGGGACCCTGTGATCAGGGGCAATTATGGTGTTGCACTAAGTGCCTCTCCAGTCAGGCAATCTCCTGCAAGATTTCTCTGGGGTGACCTTAAGTGCACCTTCCCCATCAGCAGTGCAGCTGGGAAGGAGGGTGCAGAAAAGAAGAGAAAGAATAATTGTGTACTTCCCCACAGTGCCCAGGAACAATGAATGGAAGAGATGTTGTACTGACTCACAGCTGAGTGTTACAATGTGTGTATGCTGCCATGGTAAAAACAATGAAATGTCATTTTGTGTCCCTAGCTGTGCATGAGGCAAGTACTGCTTTGTTCTGGAACAATGATTTATCGGTCTTGTGTAACTTTGGGTTCTTCATCTGGCGTCTAAAAGCGAAATGGAAATGCCTCTAGGAGGGATGGTGTGCATAATTAGAGGTAAAATGTATCTTGCTGAAATTTAAATCCATACTCCGGCTCCCTCTGTAGGGCTACCCTCTCTGCTAGGCCAATATTGTAAGAGGGCAGATTCCTGTGTTCTAAGATAGCTGTCTAAGGCTGTGTCTGGAGTGACACAAGTGTTTCCAAATTTCCAGGCCAGGGTATGAATCCCA